CCAATCTGTATCTTAATTTCTAATCCTATCGAGAAAAAAATTCAATATATTTGCTGTGTGATCGATCAACAACCATATGATTTTATTGCTGATTCCAGAATGAAGATATAAACTAGGATAAATTTAGCAATATAATGATAAATCACATTAATTTAAAACTGTGACAGTTTTTACTTCAATCTTGATAGTTTAAAGGCACAGACAGATATCGTACTTTGGTGCAATATTTCATTAAATAAACTATCAATTAGAAGCTCATAATATGAACACAACTTTCTTGATTCAATTTTAAGCTTATTGATTTGGAATATGGCAGCTTCTTTGTATAAAATATTACATAAACCAGAATGCAAAATATCTCGTGGGATCGTAGCTCGATTTGAAAAAAATCGATGCTGTCTAGGTATGATGCTGATATGCACAAGCAAACTAGTGCGTCAGACCATCATGGAAGAGGAAGCCCAGTGTGCGTATAATCGTCATGTTCTCATAGAGGTGCGCAATTTGATCATCAAAAATAAGAGCTTAATATTCATCGTGGCAATCAGGTGGAAAGCGTGCTGGGTGAGATGGTGTATGACGTTGAAAGTTGCGAACAGGAGTGCGAATTACTGAGGTTGCGACAGCAACTGCGTGCTACAGAGAGCTCTCTGATCGAATACCAGGAGCGAGAAATTGAATTATTAGAAGAGAGGCAACAGGTTAAGTGACGGGCTAAAATATATTGCTCGGTCTCAGCTCCAATTGTTGTCGGATTTCTATTGACCGTATAGGCTTACGATTATGCTTTAAAAGTGGAGCAAGAAGGTAGATTGATAATGAGCAAGCTAAATGATTACATGTCGGTGGTTGTAACAGAGCTTGCGAAGAAGGAAGTGTACGTTTGCTGGAAGAATCTCTGCTGGAGTTAGACTAATGCTAGTCCTGGTCTGGTGCAGTCTAGAAAAGGAATTGCAGCAAGCAAATAGGCAGATAAAGCTCACAGGACAGTTGTCAAAAGAGCTGGCAAGTGCACAACGAGAAATACGTGAGTTGCGACGCGCAAATGATATTCAGTTTATTCTCAAAAGAAACAACTCCATGCCGGCAAAGCCTGTGTCAGACTCGAAAATCGAACGCCATAAATTTGCGCACACCACATCAGGATTGGATTTAAAGTCGAGTGCAATGAGAGAGACTAGACATCCGTTCTCATTGATGCCGGACAACATCATGCTCAAATTGTTTTCGTTTTTGGACAAGGATAGTATGGTCGCCATTAGTGTCACCGATAAAGTGTTAGTGAAGCGGGTAAATGTGCTATTTGGTGTGACACCGCCTTCTGGCTGGGCGAAAACTATTCCTCCCGCTCCAGTGAAACAACGGATATCATCGCCTCGAACTCGAAAGTCGCCCAAGCTTCGCAACCTTAAATTAATCGGATCATCAGAAAAAGACAAGGTTCAGCAAAGTCGTGTACTTTGCTCCCACATGTGCTTTGTGCGCTGACATTAATTTGAACTTCATAGCTTTCAAAGGTGGATGCAGTCGTGAAGTCACTCAAGCCCGATCAAATCAAGCTGTTTCACGATATGTCGACTAGAGTGAAGACGTTAGAGGTGACATGTGACATCTTCTCAGCATATACGCCGCCTTTTGATACAGCAATCTCATTTTAAGCTTTTTTTGCAGGCTCATCTTAGTCAAGTGCAGACCGAAAAGGAGGATTTGGCAGCACGGTTGTATAGCGCGGAGAGTGTACGTGACTTTTTGATGGAGAAAATGAAAGATTTGGAGGACGTGCTTGCCAGCAACATGACTACAATTACAAAAAAGGATGAACAAGCTGCTATGGATCGCGAAATTATTGGCTTTCTCGATGCCACGACACAAGAGTACGAGGTCGCGCTAAAAGAGTACGCGCACCAGAACAATGGTCTTCGTATGGAACTTGCCCAGCGTCAAGAAGAGCACTCGTCCAAGACATTGGTAGGCTGAATGACATTCTGCTGACGTCTTTTTGCCAGCTCTCACTTATCACTTGTTGTGTGCAGATCATTCAAGACATGGTTGAACTGCTTGCTGAGGAAAAGAAGGAGCTTGAGGCTCAAGTTCGGTCTCAGCGCAAAATTCTCGTTCGCGAAGTTAAGGCACTGCGCGCACAAAATCAGCAGCTCGCCGTTGAAAAAGATCATTATTTTGCGCAACTTAAACAGCTTAAGCATGCGTTGCGGCACCTTGACCAGCTCAGCTAAATTACTCTTTAATAACTCCCCGTTATAATAACACGTACCTAACAGAATGATGATCCATGTCACTTGTCCGCATTTGTTTAATTCCCTCGATGGCGACGGCAGTACTACGTCGCTTTGCTTTGGCACGCCCTCGCCTGCCCACAGCATCATCCCACGTAATACACTACCGACGTGTACCAATGTTTGCGGTACATCGCGTGCATGCTAATCCTTTTGCAGTTGGTAGCAGCAATGTCTTCGGTGCATTATACTCGACTGACAACAGTGACGGAAGCAATGGCAAGGACACGGAAAAGTCTCAAGACGAAGCGAATGACGCCGACAGCGACAATGTAGAAGTTGTGATTAAAAATGACTTGGTTACTGTTGGGGAAGGTGACAATGCGCCCACGTATCCCCACGTCTTGGTAATGCCAGCTCTCCGCCGCCCATTCTTCCCAGGCGTCGTACTCCCTATGACCATTTCAAATCCGGAAACTACACGTGCACTGATGGCGTTAAAGGAAAGTGGACAAAAGTATGTTGGCGTGTTCTTGAAAAAGTCAAATGGGGACCCTCTCAAATCCGGTGGAGGTGAGGATGAGATCAAAAATCTGAGCGAGATTCACCACGTCGGTAGCTTTGCTAGAATCGACAATATGCTACCATTTGATGCAAACTCAGTCCAGGTGTTAATGGTCTCACAGCGACGCATTGCAATTGACAGTCTTCGGGATGAAGGGCCTCCTATTCGAGTGAACATAAGCAATTTGGATAGTCCCCCATTTGATCCAAAGAGCAAGCTGATTCGTGCTTATTCGAACGAAATTGTCGCCACATTAAGGGAGATTGTTAAGATGAACCCACTGTTTAAGGATCATATGCAGTACTTTTCGCAACGGGTTGATGTTCACAATCCTTACAAACTAGCTGATTTTGCGGCATCTGTAACATCAGCAGATGGAGAGGAGCTACAATTTATAATGGAGGAAATGTCGTGTGAAGCTCGACTGAAAAAGGCTTTGGAGCTTATTACCAAGGAGCTAGAACTCAGTAAGGTTCAGCAGACGATTAAAGAGCAGGTAGAGGAAAAAGTATCGAAAAATCAGCGCAACTTTTTGTTAATGGAGCAGTTGAAAGCGATCAAGAAGGAGCTTGGTATGGAAAAAGATGACAAGGAAGCAATGATTGTTAAGTATCGTGAGCGTCTTGCCGAGTTCGCAAGCGGCAGCATTCCTGCCAGTGTGAACGAGATTATTGAAGATGAACTAAATAAAATGTCGATGCTTGAAAAAAATTCATCGGAGTATAATGTCACACGCAATTATTTGGATTGGCTCACGCAGCTTCCATGGGGAAAGAGCACCGAGGAAAACTTTGATTTAGCCAAGGCAAAACAGATTCTTGATGAGGACCACTATGGACTTAAGGACATCAAAGAGCGCATCTTAGAGTTTATTGCCGTTTCCAAGCTAAAGGGAAATGTTCAGGGTAAGATCGTTTGTTTTGTCGGCCCTCCTGGTGTAGGCAAGACGAGTATTGGCAAGTCTATCGCTCGTTCATTGAACCGCGAGTTTTACCGCTTTTCAGTAGGTGGCCTTAGTGATGTTGCAGAGATTAAAGGTCACCGCCGCACATACGTAGGTGCCATGCCTGGCAAGATAATTCAGTGTTTAAAATCAACTCAAAGTTCGAACCCACTTATTTTGATCGATGAGATCGATAAACTTGGTCGTGGATATCAAGGCGATCCAGCGTCAGCATTGCTAGAGCTACTAGATCCGTCACAGAACAGTGGATTTGTTGACCACTACATGGACGTGCCAGTCGATCTGTCCCGAGTCCTTTTTATCTGCACTGCCAACGTTACGGACACAATTCCTGGACCCCTGCTGGATCGTATGGAAGTCTTGCGTCTGTCCGGTTACGATTCGCCGGAAAAGTTGGCGATTGCGAAAGATTATCTGGTGCCCAAAATTTTAGAAAGAACCGGTTTAGGAGAACACGAGACAACACCTAAATCATTGGGCTTGACTGACGAAGCAATTTTGACTCTGGTGAAGCAGTATTGCCGAGAAAGTGGTGTTCGTAACCTGGAGAAGCACGTAGAAAAAATATTTCGCAAAGTTGCTCTCGAAGTCGTAGAAGATTTAGAGCGTGCAAAACATCAAGAGACTGGCGAGGTGACTGGTACGGAGAACGCGAAAGATGTGTTCGATGACGAAGCCCGGTTCTTGGTCTCGTCTGAGAAGCTATCAAAATACGTCGGCAAGCCCATCTTTACATCGTAAGCTGTATCTTGCTTAACCGTGTATATTTATACTGTTGTTGGCGGCTAACGCTCTTTTGCGTCTTCTTTGTTTCAGCGACCGCATGTTTGACAAACAGTTTCCAGGCGTTGTGATGGGACTGGCTTGGACAGCGATGGGTGGTGCATCGCTTTATATCGAGACTACAAAAGTACACACGAAGGGAGATCGCTCGGGTCTGATCACTACTGGTCAAATGGGATCTGTGATGGAAGAGAGTACTAAGATCGCACACACATTTGCTCGTAGCAAATTGCACGAAATTGATCCAGAAAGTAAGTTCTTTGAAGAAAATGAGGTGCATTTGCACGTACCAGAGGGAGCAACGCCAAAAGACGGACCGTCAGCTGGTTGCACAATGGTGACAGCGCTTCTTTCTCTCGCCATGGATAAGTATGTGCTCTTTTCTAAATGTTTGACAAGAATCTAACTAATAAAAACTGTAATTAGGACGGTCAAGCGTGATCTCGCCATGACGGGTGAGCTGTCGTTGATAGGCAAGGTACTTCCTGTGGGTGGTATTAAGGAAAAGACAATTGCAGCAAAGCGATCGGGCGTCAAGACGCTAATTTTGCCTCTTGGCAATAAGCATGATTTTGAAGATTTGGAAGACTATTTGCGAAATGATTTGGACGTGCATTTCGCAGACTATTACGACGATGTGTACAACGTCGCTTTTGAGCAAGAATAGACAGACATTCACTGTAAGCAAGTGGAAATATATACGTACAGTAACTGTACACGCTTGAAATACTAATCTTTGATATTTTTGGTCCACCGCAATGTGAATTTCCATTTTGGATCAGACCCCAAAACAGATTATCATGGTGCTTCGCATGCTTTGGAACATTGGCTCGGGCCTCGTGTACAAAGTCTTGCACAAAGATCCGCGTCCTGGCCTTGCTGGGTTGCATTATCCAGCGGTATGGAGAGCTCGCTCTGGCTTTATGGACTGTGATGTTAACCTTCATTTAAACAATGCGGCGTACCTCTTCAGCATGGAGCTTGCGCGTTGGCATTTCACGGCGTATGTGCTCGCTTTGGCATCGAAATGTACAAATCTATCTAATTAATATCATTTCCTAGGTCCACCGGCGTTCTGTGGCAAGCGTTGAAGCATCGACGACAGTTTCTTGCTGCCTCGCAAGCAATTCGCTATCGTTACGCAATTTCCCCATTTCATGCGTACGAAGTGAAGACACAAATGATCTTTTGGGACGGACCTTGGATCTACTTTTTACATCAATTTCAGGATCCTAGCACAGGAAAGCAATTTGCTGAAGGGCTGTGCCGTGTCATGGTCAAGGATAGTGGCGGAGGAGTCACATTTAACCAAATGGTTTCTGAGGTCTACGACGGTCCAATTCCGACGCCACCTAAACAGTTACCTAACGTCATTAAAGGATTTCTGGAGTGGGATGCCGCAAGTCGAACTAGTATGGAGGCTGCATTTGAGACGGAAAAAGCGGAAAAGAGCAAAAGCTTGGCGCAATTTGAGCCAAAAAGTATTTGGAGTAAAATTTGGAGGGAAATGCAGCGCTCGATGAATCGTCCATCACGACCATCGACGCACTGATCGTTTCTAGTAACTGTTTAGGCAATTGCTAATCGCATAGCTTGTCTATGAGCGAGCTGATTTTTCTATTAATGGACATCGCACGACTCGCACATTAAAACGTGTTTAAAAAAGTATCTTTTTGGATATACTTTATTCGACATCTATATAACGAAAAGAGTACAAATTAGCGTCGAGCCCATAGAAACATGTGATAAATAAAGCACGATCATTTTGTGATAACAAGAAAACTCGGCTCAATACAGTGCGTGAGCTCAAAGCTCGTAGTTAAGTGACCTCGCATGGACTATGACGTTGTCGAAACAGTAAGCTGAGGAATTCTTTCGAGCCGTAAATTTTAGCTCAACATATCGAAGAGCGGAGGGCAGTAAAATAGAGAATTATTATTGGTTGAAGTTTTGAGATTTACGGCCTACCACAACGATAGTGCAGCATGCTCCGAGCATTCTCCATGATCGTCCGGTTCATTCTCTCGGCCACGCCGTTCTATTGCGGGCTATACGGCATAGTCTTCTGATGCACGACCCGCTGCGCTCACAGATCCCATCTAGAGCCTTGTTAACAGACTCAGTGCCATTGTCTGAGCGAATCACCTTGATTCGCTGACCCCACTGCTTCCGTACAGCGCCTTGTACGCCTTGAACTTGGCCACCACTTTACTTTTCTTCTTGAGGAAGTACACGACCACAACCTTCGAGTGGTCGTCCACGAAGATGAGCACGTACATCACTCCACCCTTCGATTTCGTCTTCATGGGCCCCATCACGTCCGTGTGTACTAGCTCCAGTACACGTAATGACTAGGTCAGCGATCTTGGTTGAAAATGCGCCACCGTCTGCTTTCCCTTCATGCAGCCACCGCATAAAGTCTTGACCTCTTGCTTGACAGCTGGCATCCCAGTCGTTGCGCGCTGCGTCTTCGCATACACGCCCTCATTGGGGTACCCCTTGCGAGCATGCCACAGCTCCCATTGATTCACTGACCCCTTGTGTTCGACGAATCGCGCCATTTCCTGCTGACAGTCCAACACGTAGGCCTTGCCGAGTCTCT